AATTTATTTTGCATTTCAAATATCTTATTCGTATGATGAAAGTCTGCATATTAAAGCACATTCGTGCTTATCGATGCGTGTGATTTCCATCGAATAACTTGATCGATCGTAGAGAGGCTTGCACGTGAACTTAATAGTCACTCAGAGCACTGTCCGAGCCATATGTTATCAAATCTTTGCTAGAGGACAACTGTGTCATTCGATGTTAGCAAGCAAAACAATTTTATAGTGTTCCTTATATTGTGTGGTAGCTTTTCATATATAATTTACGCAGCAGTTATCACTTATTTCGATCGGTTTAACAAGCATATTAATATGGATTCTTCATGCAAATATAGACTTTCGTTTCTCTTGATGAAAACCAGCAGTTCTATTATATTCCAATCGCCACAATAATTGCAAATATGATACTGTTGACTAATAATACTGTTTAAATATTTAAGTGCATAATCATTTGTAATAAAGAAATATGCGGAGAAAAATTAAAAAAATCCGAATTGTACCTTACTTTTACCTGTACGGATTTTCGCATAGCAAACAGGGGTGTATGGTATGAGTGGGTTTGGGTGTATATGAGATTTTGATGTGTGGTTATGGATGTGGGTGCGTCTTTTCTTTACTGACCAACACCCACACTGAAGTGATAAAATAGACTCAATTTCATTTGAATCATGTGAATGATTTTGAATTGTCGTTTCATTATAACATTTAATTTTGAACAATCTTCAATGCTTCTTTTTGTCGAGAAATGCACCAATGACACTTAACTCATCTATGCGTGAAGTAACAGCACGCCATACGTCATCTTGAGTTGATGAATATTTGTTTAGTGCGGACATTAATAATTTATAATAGTCGCACAAGGGTGCTGCTTTTGTGTGATCCACATCACGTAATGCACCATTACATCTCATATGAAACGAACTTGAAAATGAGTCTATTTTATTCAATAAATCTTCAATAAAGTTTGAATTAAGAATGGAATGCGCACATTTACCTAATGGATAGCATTTCTTTTCCTCGATTAACAGGTGTTGGCAATAGAGTTAATACTTTATCAGGTTCTTCGTTGACGTCAAGAAAACGTTGCTCATCATTAAGACCACATACTTCAGAGACCATCATAGATTAATTTAAAAGCTCTAGAACGAAAGATGGTCTGAAGTGCGTCTTAAGGGTGTAGTGTGAGCGTAATGTTCCAGAGTTTGGAATGAAAAGAAAGTCCAAGAAAACACCATATGACTCAACTTCCCTTTCTCTTTTTCTTTACATCGTAACTGTTTTCCCTAGCATCATAGCCTTTTGAAATAATATTTAAAACGACACAGGAGTTCGAGAATTTTGAGAGAATATAAGCAGTATTTTTAGACAGCATCCTTCAGGTCGGATAACGACAATACAGCAAAAAACGTCGTTTGACAGTCGACTACCTTTTGTGCTTGTATATTAATATTATCCCTAAGTGAAAATTATAATAGAAGCTACTTCAACAACGAATTTCATAAGAAAAATATTTTTGTATCTTGTGAGACGTCTTCGCACTCGAAAGAATACTTCAATACTAAGAGAGGGATACGGGTGTGGATCCATGTGTATGAGTGACGATAGGATAGGTGTGTTCATTTAAATATTATATGAATTCTTTACTAGCAGGCCTCGCAGCCGTACTACTTTCCTGTTTTTTTCCTGATTTTTTAAAAATGTCCTGTTTTTCCTGTTTTTGACTGAAAATCCTGATTTTCTCCTGATTTTTCATGATCCATCCCGATAGGGACATATTTATTTGATCATGGCATGTTGTATTTTTATTTTAATTAGTTTATTATCAAAATGCATAAAAAAATATTATGGAATATCTTGAACAAAAAAAGATACAATATATAAATTAATGTTCACTTTAATCATTCATTTTTTCTGTTTTCTGTGTACTCAAAAAGTGAGTACACTATAGAATTGGTCAGTTTGTCTGTCCGTCCGTCCGCCCGTTTCTACGATAACCCTTGAGAACATTAACTGATTGTCAAGAAACTTTTGTCATAGAATCGTCTCATCAATGTCTTGGTCGAGTTCGAAGATAAGAGTGATCTGTCTAGAAATTGCCGAGTTATCGCAAAAAATGTCATTAATTCTTGTGCTTTTTCTATGCGAACATTGACCTATCCCGGCTTTCATATAAAAACTTTTTCTCTCATAATCAAAACAAAAGCTCAACTATTATATACCATTCGATAGAGAATTTCACGGGCTACAAAACGGTATATAAAAGATTAAGAAAAAATTGATTGATCGGTTTGATAAAGAAACCACAGGTGGCCATCTTAAATATATTGGAAACAAATCAGAAATGAACAAATTGAGTTTATGAATTCATTTCACTGGCAATCATTATGATCCTCTCTTACCCTTTCTAAATAATCGTCAACAATTTATACCCAAACATGATATAATGAATATGAGTTTATAAAATGAAGGAAGGTTCCATAAACTCATCAAAATAATTAATTAAAATAAACAAGTTTTTATTGATGCAAATAAATAAAGGCTTCGGAACTAACTCCTCGCCGCGTCCTACGGGACAAAAAGAGGGCATCGGCAGGGCCGAAGGGGCAGTTTCTTAGTGCGCTCAAGGATGATTTTTTTTTAGACAGTTTGATCAAAATCAATCTGTCGTCAATTACTTTTACTTTTTGAAGTACACATAACACTCGGATTTGAATCCGAGATTTCCACATTTGCTCAAAATTGAATCGCTATAACATGATTGTTTATTTTATACATGGAGAGAGAATAACAAATTAGAATAAAAGCATGGCAATGAAAGAGAACGAAAAGAAATAAACAGTACAGGACGAAAAGTGTGTGTATCTGAATAAAACAATAAGTTCCTGCATAATTCATTCTGTTTTAACCAGCTTCACAGCAAAAACGGCTAACGGTCAACCAGTGTGGCTAAAGTTGACGACCCAAATTCTCCGATGCAAAACAAGTGATCTTACTCATTCAAAGTTTTTACTTAGGTTTTCATACATCCTGCGTCGATCTACATCGTTTTCCGTTCAACATCTAGATAAGAAATTATAGTTGCCATCCAAAATCTACAGTTTTCATAGGAAAATGCCCCCAAAGAGCTCTTTTTTCTGCTTCAATAATTCGAGCACTCTTTTGGCTTAAACAAATTTGAAAACATTTCTAACATAACAACACTCGTGACAGTCAAAATATGAATCAACATCATTATTTTGATGTTCCAGACCAATACAATCGGCTAAAACTTTGTCTTTCGCAGAAAAGTGTCTGTGCGTTACTTGGTATTTTGTCTATAACTCGCTCATTTTTCAACGCATCGACGTTTTCTTTTAACCAAAAGATAGCCCTGACTGTTAGCTACAAAACCATTTCTCTCCTAATTCATTAACTCAGAGTATCTTGTCGTATTTTCACTTCTCTTATATGCACTCATAAAACGAGGGACTTTTTTGTCTGTGCGTTACCGATCAATATTTTTTGTGTAAAACACAATTGCATAAAGATAAAAAATTGAAATTTTTATCAGAAGTAGAATTTCGTCGAATACATATTTGGGAAAAATTTCAACTCTCTAGCTTCATTGGTTGTCGAGATATACGTTCCTGAATTTGAAAAAACGTCTGTGCATTACCTGCGTTTTTCATGTTCAGTGTTTACTGCAGCAACCTACATTTTAATTGTAACTAGTCATGATTTTGGCACCCACTTTGACGCAAATTTGACCTCCAAAAAAGCAATATTAGAATAAAGTTTATAATCCTGATTTTTATAAAAATTCCTGATTTTTTTAAAAAAATTTCCTGTCTGCTTTCCTGATTTTGGAACACATGCCGCTGCGACCCCTGTACTAGTTAATATTTCGAACAGATTGTTTTATACCACCAGATGTCGCTCGTGATTATGAAAAAAAAGTAACATATTGTATCATGTTCTACAATAAAACAACAAAGATCAATATCGATATTTAAATATTGTTGAACCGCTTATGAAATTAATTTTCTTTCTTTTCACCTACTATTGGTCGAACACTATCGATGAGTCATGAATCTCAACGCAAAAAAATCAGGTGTCACACTTGACTTGAAATGATAGCAATGTTTGTTAGCTCTTTTGCTCCATATCATATTCTTTCATATGCTTGTTTGACAGGGATAACACTATGGCATTCGTTTATTAGTAGTCCTATTGCTCGCCAAACATTGACTCGTCAACAGCTCGGGTCACTTCAAAGCAAACTATTTTCAATCTATTTTTTCTTGCAAAGTGCTCTCAGTGGCATATGTCTTTTAACAACGTCGAATAGAAATGCTCAAATCATTTTCATCATTGACCTCATTAGTGGTCTAATCAATTTTATTGTGTTCGGACCATGGATAATAAAGTAATAACTTAATCATTAATTCTATCTGCAATATATCTTACTCTATGTAACTAGGTTAATGAATGAACGATTCAAGGTGGAACTTGAAGAAGGCAAACAATACAACGAGCCAGATATTAGTGATCGACTGAAAGCTTTGAATAAAAAATTCAGTCTGGTTCATTGGTATAGTGTAATCATTAATATGGTTATTGCAATCTCGGTCGTTGTCTATCCATTTATTTTGCCTCCAGTCATCGTGTAGAACGTTAGAAACCTTCTTTTTCGCACTTTCACATCTGTTTATATTGTCCCGAAGGATGTTAATTTTTTTATAGAGTTATATTTTTCGTTTGCCTGAATAATTTAGAATTTATTCAGAAAAGACTCATGTATTTGTTGCTGAGAAAGGCTATTTTTTTTCTAGTCATGGAAGAAGTGCAAAGAAAAACTTTCTATTGATGGATCTGGTTGTTTTTTTTTAATCGAATAAAAACGAAAGCTCCACACTGTATGTTTGATGTCTTTTGAAAATACTACTATTACTGGAATGTTGTCGATTTTGTAACTTTTTTTGTATTCTGCATTGACCTCGAGTGTTTTTAAGAGAATCAATCGTCATTTCCATCAAGCTGATTGATTAACTTCCTATGGAATGGTTTCTAGCTTATAGGTAGTCGAAGTTTTCGGAAAACCCTTTCAAACACCTCAAATCACAATTTTTACTCGTGGAGGTTTTTCACGAAATCTGAATGCCTGAATAATGATCATATAAGCAAGTGAACGTCACAAGAAAAAAGAGAATCTTCTACAGTGATGGCTCTTCGAACCATTTGAATGAATTGACATTATTGAAATTACGGCGACAGAAATTAAAACATTATTCAATTAAACAAAAAAAAAAGATAAATTGAACTCAATATAATCATTGAATTACAAAATTCAAATTTAAATTCCGAATCTTTGTGTTTGACTTTCATATGAAAAGATGAGCCTGTAGAACCATAAACAATTAGCTTTTATTTGCACTTTTGATAGTAACATCGATTTGTTTTTGCCATGTTTGAACATTTAGGAAAATTAAATGTCTTTGTTCGACTCCAAATTATGGATTCGTTCTTATATGTGTACAGATTGTTTTTCAGGCAAATTTCACACAATGGGAATGATACTGTTAAGAGTCAATGTATCGTGTTTTGATTTAAAATGAATTTTTGCACCCATCGAAAGATTTGAATTCCTTAACGTATTCCAGTCAGCAAGATAGTGCATTGATAGAATTAATCATTGCTTTTGTAAATTCAAAGTCAGTGCAATGGAATTGTCACTCATACTTAAGAGTAAAATGAAGTTTTTTTTAAGATATAGTAAGCAGAAAAAAGTTGAAATTGTATGGTGAGCATTTTTATTTTACAATCTTATTTTGCTTCGACATTGTTGAATTACAAACAACACTTTGTGGAGTAATGGTAATCATGGAAGCAATAGCTCTCAGATGCTTAGTATCAATATTTTGTTTGCAATCATCAACTGGTTCAAATTCTTTTGAACATTAAGTCATGATAAAGTTTGACCATGAAAAAATAATTGGATTTGCAACTGAAAGTTTATCTTATCGACGATAGACGATTTTCTCTTAAGCTTTGATAGACATTTTGAAGAAAATATTTATCTTTGATCATGGATATTGTTTTCTACATTTCCTTTTTCCAGTCAAGACAGTATTCAAAATAGATGTTAACTAAAAAGTCTGTAAATTTCTTGTACTGCCATCTCTCGTAGTCGATAGTTTATTATCGTACGTATATTCGAAAATTTCTTTTTCAGACTGTTCATATCCATATACAAGTAAAATAAACAAAAAATCTGTCATGCATTTGCAAAGAAAAATTGTTATGACTGAAATTCTTCTATTTTCTTTTTGCCAATCGTGAATGTGGGTGTGATTTCGAATGAAAAGAAGATCCACACCTTAACAGAGAAAAGTATGTTACAGAAGTTGCTCACATTGCCAACATACATATGTTTACACATCCAATTAGGAAACTTGAAATAGAAGCCATTGCTTATCAACGTACTTCAGTGTCGCCATCATAGAGCTCTATCTACCTTTATTCGCTTTGGGTATGTTCGCTTGTAAAACAAATTTGTTATTGATTTACCATGGTAGAAAAAATACTGGAGATCAGTATATAATCTATAATCATATAATAGAAAAAAATACCTAATCCATGCGATGTGGAACACAGTGAAGTTTTGTTTTTACCTCATCTGAATATAAGAAAATTGTGTGCAACATCTCTCATGTTTTTTTAAAAGGTTGTGGGTATGAGTCTTCTCTTCAACAATAGTAGTATACTCACACCCATCTTTGAAATCCATATAAGCCAATTCAGATTTTCTGCTAATTCCAAATATGTTAATTACTTTTGACTGGATACCTATGTTTTCAAATCAAAATCTGCTAAGAATCGGTTCAAAGTGCAAAAAATGGTGTGTAAAACGATTTTAAGTTGTTTCATTTCATAAAGATCACATCTAAAAAATTGGATAAATATTTGGTTTTGTAGCTCTTCTTACGACCTTTCAGAATCAATCAATAGCCCATGGTTTTTCTCTCTTTATTAAGGCATTAACTAATAATTAGAGCGAAGGTAAGTCTGAGTCCTTCAGATATTCGCTTTGTTTTGTTACCAAATGATTCATCATAAAATTCTGCATTAGTCACTTTATGAATGGAGCAAAAGTGAGGAAGACATAAAAATGGTCCTTATACGCCTCTGGCTTTTATATTTTATTAGTTTGTTAAAAGATCCATCATATTAACACCTAAGAATTGTTTTTTTTGTGTCATTCCGAAGCTAATTTTAATAGATCAAAATAGCAAACATTCTAATTTGACGGTTGATTTGAAGGTTCAACTTTTAATGGTAAATAATTATCATAGATAGATTCTATTAAAATAGAGAGAAAATGAAAAATAAATATAAGATAACTAAATATACATACCGATAGTTTTTTGAGAAGATGGAAATGATTTTTTATCTTGTTCGAATCGATCAGATCGTACTATACTTAATGAACGCATTTGTTTTTCCATTCGAACTAATGGATTTGCATACTGGTTGATGAAATTATGCGATGCGTATTGATCACTAGATGATGTTGAATTATCTTTGTTTGATAGTGCTTTTTCATAAATGACTTTTCGTTTTTGTGGTTTGTATGGAAGCCAACGTTCAACAATAATATCTGGAGGTTTAGCAGGCATTGGAGGTAAACGTTCAATAATAACACGACGTTGTACTGGTTCTACAGATGATACTCTTTTGTAAATTATCTAGTTTGAATAAAAAAATAAAACTTTTCATGATAGTGCGAATTCATTTTTATTTTATTTTTTTGAAATCTAGAATAATAACTAACTTTTTTACCTGAGGTGTAGTATAAGATGGTGGAGTTGGTGGTCGTTCTCGAATAATTATTGGTGGTGGAGTAACTGGTGGTGGAGGTCGTTGACGAATAATAACTGGAACAAAAAAAAACAAATAAATATCATAATTTTAGTTTTCGAAATTTATTCATTTGTCTAACTAGGTGGTAATGGTGATGGTTCAGGTGGGCGAATTTCTCGAATAATTAAAGGTGGTGGTGGTGGTGGTGTTGGTGGACATAAATATCGTACAGCAATTTGCTGTTTATACACGATAGGTTCATGATATTCTGCAATTTTTTTCCGAATAATTTGTGGGGATGGATCATAGTTAATTGGATATTGTGTCAATTGATGCTCTCGAATTACAATGCTCGGTCGACGAATACGTGGTTCATGATGATATTCATCTTCGTTTATAAAAGAAAGGATCAAACAAAGTATTTCATTTAAATCGAACGATTAGTTCGTAATGTATATAAATAAACTACCTGTTGATGGCTCTCGATTAGTTTTGCTTCGTTCATCTGCAAGACTTCCGTAAGAATTTGATCCTGAAATCGGTTTGAGCAAAGTAGGTTCATTTTTCTGAACATAAAAGCTTATATCGTCTTCTTCTCCTTCTTCTTCGTTGCGCATGTTTTCTTCGATCAAATATCACTACTAATATGACCTTGTTCTTCTTCGTTGATGATGACCGAGTGCATTGAACCATATCCATATATTCATCTATAATGTCAATTTTTTTCTCGTCTATTGATGAAAACTAAATAGAATGAATAAACAATTCAACTATTTGAACTCAATGAAATTACATTTAATGAAATTGTGTTGAAACACATAAAAGCTATAGTGCACGATTATTCATAACCACACATCTATGGTGATGTTGTGCTCATTTTTTCTTATTGCTCAGTGTATAAATACATGTCTCGATGCCTTCAGCTTATGTTTTATATGGTCAAAAAAAAAACACAAAAATATTCATCGAAATCTGTCAAACTATATAGACACATAAATTTGATGTAATTGGAACTTTGTTGTAGTTGAAACAAAAATATTGACATATATTTAAGCACAATATGAATACATATCATAAACTTCATTGCTACCATTGAAATAATTATAAACTATTGTTGGTAATTGTCAGTTTGATATCACTCAAACAGAAGAAAACATAGAAATTATCTCTAAAAAGCCTTGCTCTTATATGTAATCGGCTAGTACATTTGTCATTTATATTCAAACAAACATGTTATCTTTATCTACATGACTGATGGCGGATGTTCCATAAAGCATTTTGTATGAAGATACTCAATTGAATAGTTTCGATGTTTCATTCGGCATTCAATTATCATAAATGTGTTACTACAATCTCATTTTGAACGATAGATTTCTAATTTGATCCATTACTAAAACTATCAAATACAGATTAGTTTCTCCTTGTTCTGTTACTCATTTCTCTGTGTCTTTCTATTGAATAGTTCTTAGTTTGATCACTTCTTCCAAACTTTGATACCCATCAGGTAGATATGTCTATTTTTTTTTCTTGTATTAGAACTAATGTCAATAAGATAAAAAATTTCATCTTGTGATTTAAGTCAACATTGTTGGGCGTCACATCGATTAGTATAGTTAATAAATGGTAATAGTTATTGGTTCTATTTCTGTTCTTTTGCATCGTCGTTTATGAACATAAACGATAGAATATTTTTCATATGATTAGACTAAACCGATTATTCTAAGTGTAGATGTAGGTTTGAGTATGTGTGCAAAGACATTTTGTTCTTTTACTGTTGTAGAGTTGAGAATAAATGATAAAGGCAAAGAAAAGAAAAGAGAAGAAGAGATAGTAATGTAGATCGGAAAAAGAGAACGAGCGAAAAGGAAACAACTCTATTCTCTTTTAATAAATATAATTTTTTTTTTTCGGAATATTAGTTGTTATTCTTGTTGTCATAAGAGAAAACGATAGGAATTGTAATACGTAATTGTAAATTAAATGATATCCTTCAATGACTTTGCATGTTCTTTGATTTGTTGCTTTTTCACATGCTTTTTTTCCTTGTTTGATAGAGTAGTATTAGTCTTGATTTTTTTTCTTCTTTATTGATGAAGCTAATCTCATTTGACTTTCAATTAATAATCTTCTATACATTCTTTTTCTTCATATATGAATGAAACTCTTTTTTTTTCTTCCTCTAACCTACACATTGTTCTATTATTAAAACGATCAATCAGTTCAGATTTATCATTGTTCTTCTTTTGTTTTTATTTCGAGACATACTATATGTAGTAAACCGAACAGGAAAGAATAAATTTTCGATCGATGACAATCGTTCCACGTAAGTTTTCCGGTCTTAAGGTAAAATGCAAACATGATTTTGACATTTATATAGAAATATATTATGTTATTATACTTTAACAACATAATGTATATATATTTTTTTGTTATTATTATCTTCGTTGAAAAAAAAAATAAATACATAGACTTTCTTTTAGTAGATATCAGAATAAATATTCATCAATAGGTTAGTTGTCTAGATGATTTTTACATGATGAGCTGACTAAAATTTCGGAAGGTATTCTTAATTATGTGTCACCTTGTGTTAATCAGAATGAATGAGACACAAAAAAAAGAACTTAACTATAGTGATGTTTGTTTCAATTCTAATGAATGTTAGGAAAATTTTTTCTATTAGTAAAAGAAGTTGAATTAGTTTTTATTTTTATAAAAAGTAACAATTCCGTGTGTAAAAGTGAGTGTGTCGTCGAGCTCAATTCGACAACCACTAGAGAGTAGTCGTAACATAGAGGAAATAATAAAAAGAAAGTTTTCTCGTCTTTGCGTTCGTCTACTGTTATCGTCAGTGATGAAAATTGTTTGAACATCCTTATTTAATCATCATCATCATCATCGTTCTTAGCCAAAAGAGAGAATCATTCGATCTAAAGAAAAATCCGTCTTATATGAAGTGACTCGTTCTTGCTTCTTTAACTGCAATAATTGCTCCGACATACATTTTAGGTTTCTCTTCATCATCAATTGAGGACATAAGAAAAAGAAGTGACAAGCTTTGCCTCTTTTTTTTGCATAAGTAATAAAACACAATGAAAAAAGAAATGTTGATAAAAATTATTTCAAGCTTGTTACAAGTAAGTTATACTAATAAACATTGTTGTTTTTATATTCCTTTTTTTTTTCTTTTAAATCAATAGCAATAAGAATAAAAAAAAACACAAAAGTGAATACTAATATTGGATTGTTTCACATGGTGGCTAATGACGAAATCACTAATTATTCTGTTTACTATTTTCATGTTTCTTTTAATCTTTTTGCCATCATTAAATTGTTCAATATCCGATATTGGACAAAGACCTATTCAAAAATCTTCGGGAACATTAATACGAAAACCGAATGTAACTATATTAATGATGTTTCCCGATATCGATTATTTTATACCAAATTTAAAATCATTACTTATTGTTTATGAATATATTGTTCATCGTTATCAAATATCAAAATGGCTTAATATTAATTTACAAGTTAAAGATTCAAATTGTTCAATATCATTAGCACCTCATATGCTTGTTAAAACAATGCTTTCAACAATTCCTGATGTTGTTTTTGGGCCATTTTGTGGTAAATATTAAATTTTAATGTCTTTGTTGTTTCATTTTTTTTTCATTTATTATAACTTTTAGATTTAGCAGTAGCACCTGTTGCTCGTCTTCTTCATTTTCTAAATATTCCTATTGTTACAATGGGAGCTGTATCTAATGAATTTACTTTACAAAGACAAACAATGTATTCAACATTATTTAGATTTGGATATCGAACAGATGAACTCGGTAAGATATTCATATTGATAGAATCGTATTCAAATAGTAACAAAGAGCAAATATCTCATATTTCAGAAATAAATATCAGTAATAAAAAAAATTAATGAGAGAAACGTTAAGAGAAAATTCGAAAATACAGTTATTTTTATTAGATGTAGCCTTTCAATACAATCAGTGCTTGACATTCGATAAGAAAAAAGTATTTATTTATGATTGGCTCTTCAGATAAAAAAAAAAGAAAACTCTTCTTGATTGTTCTATTCATCTTGAAATATTTAAAAAAAGCTAATCGATTTCTACATTTTCTTTTTTGGAAATGTTGAGTTCTATATCTGTTTCATAAGGCACGTATAAATCAAATCACATTTATTAACTAATAGCCTTGTAAAAGAGTTAGTAGACAATAGAAAATATTATTAATTTGGCAAGTCAATTTGATTAGTAGTGAAATATATCAAAAACAACAATATGACAGACGTGTGACATGACATATTTCACATTTATTTATTTGTCCAAGCAAAATAGACTAATGAATATGATCAAAAACTAGATTTTATCTTGTATTTTAATAGGTAAAAGAAGATCGATTTCTATGAAAATTTTCTTGTTTTTTTTTCAATATGTTTTTCTATTATCAGAATTTTCAATCATGAAATATATAATCTAATAAATATTGATATATAACTGAGTACATTGAATTCTCGTGAGACATTAGAAGCCATGTTTTTAAATTAGATCTGCATTTGCTCCTTGCAAGATTCTTTCTTCTGAAAATAATTCTATTTGAATAGATAAGTATTGAGAAATTCGATTTCAATATGAAATTAAATCGTTTTCAGTTGAGATCAAATGAACGAATAAATTTTAGCTTGTTAATTTAATACTACTAATATCCTTCGATTGCTAAATGATGCCTTTGAGCCATACTTACTCTTTTTTTATCTTAAGTCTAATAGTCTATCATCTTCGTGTCATAATTATTTCATCGAGTGAGTTTGAAGATATATACAAAACAAAATCAATATATAATAAATGAGTTCATTCATTGTAATAATTCTTTTTCACATGCATGAATTGTTCGATATTTAATATACTGTTGTGTATAACGAGTTCATTTGTTGAACTGAAAAGATTACATGGCATCATATACGTATTTTTGTTTTTTTTTTAATATTATTACATGAGACTGCTTTAGAGAGAAGCAACGAAAACTAACTCTTCTAGTAAAGTTAACATATGTTCTATACTATCAAAAGATATATCCAGAAAATTACAATGAATGAAATCAATCTCGTAAAAAACAAAGTCTCAATGATCACTTGATAGTTTAAACAAGTTTAAGATCTAACTTGTGTCTGTCATTAATTCTATTCTAAAAGAGTTGATGTTGTTATTATGTATAAGAGATGTTCACAGCGACAATGATATTCAAAATCAGAGCATGCGTATTAATAATTCATAAGCTTCCTGCAGTCTTCGAATATTACCTCTTTAGACATTTTGGCGACGGTGTCGATTAAATTTTCATCTAAAAAGTCAGTAGATGTTGTCTTAGACTTGGATTCATAGTTTTCTCGTCATCAATAATGGAAAGAAAGTTTTTATATATTTTTTTAGGTTCACTACTTGTCAAACTTTTTCAATATCATAAATGGTCATTTGTTAAATTTCTCTACGAAGATAATCCACAACCTTGGCATGAATGTCAAGTGTTATTACGACCCATAGCACATACATTTGCATCAAATCAAATTCGTTCGGATAATCGAAAAATTACAAGTAATGATATAAATGAT